TTAGAGCAGTACCCAGAGCCTCTGAGTTCAGAGGTCTGAGGCCAGGGGTACCCTTCTACCACAGAGAAAACTACCATAGAGCCTTCACTGCCCAGGATCCTCGGGAGAGAGTAGAGTCATCTCCTCAGGTGTTGGAGCCCTCCCGAAAGCCCAGAGGGTAGGATGGGGGTGGCGCACCCTAGGTTCACTGGACACTGGGTGCTGGGAGCCGACTTCCAGGGGGAAATTCCAAGAAGTAACTTTGGGATGCTCCTGTCCACCTAGGGCAGGGGAGGTGGGTCACCTCCAAAAGGTATCTGCCTGTGTATGTGGCAATCCTCTCCCAAACTCCGGGCAGGGAGAACATTCGCCATCAGACTGGCAGAGTGAAAGAAGGCCGTGGTGGCGAGTCTGTGTGGAGGAGCTTGTGGTGAGTGGAGTTGTAGCATGGTGGCCGCAGGCTGGTACGCGGCCTCTTGCTGTGTAGTTGTTGGACCAAATAGGCGGCACCGTGATTTCCTGGAAGCAAAGAGAATGAGTGGAGTTCAGGTCAAGTCCCTGGAGGGAACCGTGGAGCAGGGACCTGACATGGTAGGGAAGCCATATCCAAAGAGAGGAGTGAGGACAGTGCTCCGTGGAGAAGGGGGCTGTCCAGATAGGAGGCCGTCCCCGCAGGCGTGAGGTCTCCAGCTTGAAGCAAACACGCCAGGATGGCTCAGAAGTGCTGATTCTCGGCTGGAATCTGAGTTCCCAAACACCCATGACCCACAAGCCCAGCCTCTGGGACTTACCAATACTCGGTGGCTTAACTAAATTCCAAGGAACCTGTCTTTGACAACAGAGACATCTGAGTCACTGAGTGGCAGGAATGTGGGCACCAGTCAGGAAAATGGAAGGCATGCCTGCTTTCCTTGGTAGGAGATACGGGGGTGGGGGACACTATTCAACTGACTTCTGTAGTCAGGTATCCTGGGGCATCTCAGAGAATCATGGAGAAGTTGGCCACTCTGTCCCTGCACCCATACGTCTAGAATCCCTGCAGGCTGTTCTGGAGTGTGGTCCTTATACCTCTGCCCATGCCTACTGTGAGGGAGAGGGCAGCCTCCCTGACTGCTTGGCTTTTCGCTCAATACCTTATGTGATGGTGGCCTTAACTCTGCAGTCAGACCCATCTGGGCACTCCCAGCTCAGCCATGTCCCTGCTGCGGACAAACCGTGTTCTTGTGACTCTGAGGAACACCACTTACAGATCCCAGGCCATGCCTCATGGAAGAGCTTCTGTGACCACAGCTGGACAGATGGACCTGCATCATTCCACAGGACCTCTGACACCCCAACAGCAGCTGGCTGGAGCAAGCATCTGAGTCCCTCATGGGGTGGTCTTCCCAGGAGTTATCTCCCCACTGCCCAGCCGGGGCCAGTGTCCACTCCTTCTCAGGAATCTGTTCATGCCTGAGAGAATGCAGCTCACACAGGCAGGTGTGCAAGCTGCCCCAGTCTCTACCAGGACCCAGAATTCCTGGTCACTATCTTAGGCCCCATGAGGAACAAGCCTGGCTACGGGCCATGGTGCTCAGAGAACCACAGAGCTGCATGGCACCACAGATGCGCATCTCCTCTTTCTAGCCCTGGGTCCAGCGAGGCACAGTCTCAGGGCTCTCGTCACGGGTTAACACTTGTGTGGTTTCCAGGGGAGCAGAGCTACAGAGTCAGTCTCCAAGGCCACCGCTGCATTCTTCCGTAGAGAGGAAGGCAGGTGGAATTTTCCATGACCCTCCTCCCAGGCTCACTAGGAGGATGGGGTCCCCAGCCCACCCTGCAAAGTCTTTGAATACAAGGTGCCACTTCGGTACCCGAGTCCTCTAAGCCAGTGACATGCAATCTCGAGGAGGAAGAGAAGCTGAGGATTCCAGGCCATTCTGTCACTCTTGCAGCCTATGGGGGCCACGCAGAGAGGCCCGGGCTGGGGCCAGGTGGTCGGCTGAGCTGAGAACTGGGGGCCTGCAGCTTTAAAGTGGAGGGTGCCCCTAAGGCTGTAAGACCTGTGTCCTACCAGGTCCTCTTCACTTTGCGTCCCTAGCTGGTCACAGAGAAGTTTGCACTCAAATGCCCCTGCCAAGCACAGTGGAGAGCTCCCCTCCTACCCATGTACCCATGCACAGAGGCCGAGCCTGTGTCCCAGCTCAGCTCTACAGGGAGTCCACCCAGCCTGAGGCCCTCCCAGTTTTTTTTCTACCCTGGCTGGGCAGGGACTATGATGCTCTGGCGTAACTGAGGGCCCTAGACCAAGGCCTTGTTCCCTGGAGAGTTGTAGCCTGCTTCCGCCTTGTCTTTCTTTCCAAAGATCAGGGTTATATGGCCCCCATTTCCCTTGGGTTCCCTAGCTGGGTTGCCACCAAGAGATACTCCCCAGCACTCCCAACACCATAGGAATGGGTTGCTTTTTTTTTTTTTTTTTTAATTTCTCATGTTGAATCTCAGCTCGTTAAGGGACTCCCATCATGGAGCAGGAAACCCCAAACTAAGCCCTTTGGTGTCTTCTTCCCCTATCAAATTGTCAAAAATCTCTTAGAGGTTTCTGCAGACCCCAGCCCACATGTGCAGAGCACTACTCCGATAGAAGGAGCGGGGTCTCCGGGGCCGAACCTGTGTCCCTTCCCACCCCCCTTCCCTCTTCACCTCAGGGCTGAGGTTTTAAGATGGGTGCCCCAGTCATGTGTCCTTTTCAGTGGTTATCTCTCCGTCATGTCTCCTAAGGCATTGGGCCCCCAGCCACTCTCTTGAGGAAAATGGGGCCAGAGGCCCAACCCTCTCCCCAGCTCCACCCCTTCTCCCCCTAAGTCTTAGTGATTCACCAAGAAAAACTAGCCGTTGTGGGGCCGCTGTGGGCAAGAAGGGCTGTTTCTCAGGAACCCATTTTATGGTCTTTGCTGCCTTCAGCGAGCAGCCATTTTCCCACTGCAGGTGGCATCTTGTGGCCAATGCTTCTGGGGCTCACATGACAGGCACTTGGGGAGTCCTCCCCACAGTGAGGGAGAGGACTGTTTACTGTGTGTGGTATCATTTTGCAAGGTGCTGGCCGCTTGCCCAGTAGCCCGCAGCAGCTAAGCAACAAGGCTGGTCACAGCCCAGACAGCCGAGAGCAAGGCCCAGGAAGCATTACTATGCCTAGCACATCCAGCCAGTATTTAGCTTTGAGGATGCACGGGTCTCTCCGAGCAGGCTGTGCGAATCCACTCACATACTCCGTCACTGGATGCAGATGCCTCTACTTACACAGTGCCTGGAGATCCGTTTATGAGATGCTCGGTACTTTGTCCGGATCCATACCTGAGACAGGATTCAAACCCAAGGAGTCAGGCCCAACACCCAGGATTCAAGTTGATCTTCCTGTCCCTTAAGGCCAGTGTTTCACATTGCTGATTCTGTCTGCCTGCCCAACTCTCCTGCAGCTCCTGTCCCTGCATTCCCCCAGACATCACTCTTGGGGACTCAGAAGGCCTCTCTGCAAAGGTAGAAAAGGGAGCCACTGGCTTCACTGTTGGAAAGCATGAAGCCAGTGTAAGTGTGTCCTAAACAACCCAGAGGGGCACAGGCAGGATGCTCAGGGTAGGGTACATGTGATTTCCAGCCAAACCCCATTGCATCCCAAGACCACGGCTGCTCCTACCAAGAATGGCTCACCCCAAGTGTACTCATTAACTGGGTAACCTCCTGACTTCATTAAGTGGGTCTACACAAAGGGTTAAAATAAATGTCCTTCTTTATGCCAAGCGGCAATTGTCTGAGAATGACCAGGAAATGGCGAGGGATTGAATGTGCGGCAATGTGCAGAGGTGGGGGAGGGGAAATGAGGTTTCCTTCAGGTCCCATGGGGCACTACTTCAGAGATGAACACATCTGTGTGCTCTGAGGAAAATGCACTAAGAAACAGGAATGGAAACATCTCTTATCATTTTCTGGGGAAGCAAAACCTCTTTTGGTCATACTTCTATCCTTTTACCTCTCTGCCTAGTCCTGACCGCTGGTGTGGTTGGTGGCCTCAGCTCTTTCCCTCTGTAAACCCTTTGTTGTCCCCTTGGAGCAGCCACCTCCTTGACTCTTAATGGCTGTGACTGCCCTGTGCTCACAGCGAGATGCCCAAGACCCCTGAGCACCATGTGAGCGTGCCCCTTCTGTGTGCCATGTGGCCAGGCACTCCTGTCCTACTGGCTGTGACCTGAGGTGTTCCTCCACTCCAGGCATCTCCACCTAGGCCTGCCTGCTGCTCCCTGCCATTCCTGCTTTCCTCATCCTCTGGATCCCGTCCCCAACCCTGAGCTCTCAGGGACTTGTCTGCTGCCCAGAGGCCAGTTTCATTCCACACTTGATCTCATGGCTCCTGGGCTAGCACATGCACTCTCACTCAGGTGTGGGGCCAGACATGGCTGTTCCTTCCCATCTGTAGGGCTTGGATAAGCTCTTCCACCTTCTGAGGTCTCCATTTTACCATCTCTGAAATGGTCGTGATGATGCCTACCTCGTAGGGTCACCAGGACAACTGGACTAGGTAGATGTGAGAGACCTCTCATTGTGGCATTAATCTTTTCCTGGCAGACTGTGGGTCCTTGGTAAGTATGTAGTATACTCAAACAGCCCCGCGAAACCTCATTCATTATGGTTGGGATGAACTTTGCTTGCGTTGAAGAACCTGTGAGGGGTACTCCCTGGAAAGTTTCCTTTTCCTCTTTGCGTGCATTGCTAAGCATCTAATTCTATCTGACTGGTCTGAGCCTCATTGTAGCCTTGGTGTGTTCTAGCATGCCAACTTGTAAAATGAGCTGCTTGTCCGTATTGCGTGACGTTTGTGTGGATGAAACCCAAGCAACTCACTCATGAATAATTCACCTGTCCTTGTTCTCCTCAAGGGACATTTTCCCGGACAACCCAAAGGCATGGTAGTCACCTCAAAACGTCCAGAAAATCCATGTTACAGACTCATTCTATTTTTCTTAAGTCTGGGCTGATGAAATGTTTCCGGGATGGAGCCGACAGCCCAGGAACAGACCGAGAAACACTTCAGCTACGTCATCAGAGCTCCCAGCAGCGATGGCTTTGATGTGATGAACGTGGATGTGAAGATTGACACGTGCTGGGTGTTCCGAGATGTGGAGGAGAGTGATGACAATGAGCAGGGATGCCTTCCAGAAGCAGCTAGCAGGCCAGACTTGGACACGGGGCTTCTCAGGGAGCAGCTGGAATCCTCAGAGCGGAAGCTGTTGGCAGCTGTGGACAAACATGTGATGTCAGAGTCAGGGCTGAGGAGCAGGTGGGTGTAACCTTGTGAGTACTCTTGTGTGGGGAGGGGGAGTGGACGAATCCTTTGACATCGTGGTCCTTTGACATCCTGTCTCCAGCTAAGCTCCCAGGCTCACCAGAGGTACAGATCCAGCCTTGGGCGGTTATTTGCCCTCACTTCACCTATCTGTTGTGGTCCTGTTCTGTGCCCGATCCCCATCCACTGGGTCCAGTCAATAGGACGCACTGGCAGTCAGTGAGGAAGGGAGAATCCAGACGCCTTCCATTGCCTCCATTCTGTTGTGGCTGGGCCTAGGCGATGTGTGCCTTTCTTCTTTGTTCGCCCAACTCCTGCTGTATGGTTTGGTCCAAACCCTGGTCACATGTCGTCGTCATCCCCCCCACCCCCCCGGTAGTCCCCTAGCTCCAGGACCAGAAGTGGTTCCAGAGTTGCTGAACCAGCTGTCTGTCATCTCTGTCTGGCCTCTCAGCTCTTCTATCATCTCGGGACAGGGTACCAAGCAGCTCTTTCTCTCCGCTGAGCCTCTGGAGTGGGCCCTGGTGGAGCCAACACAGACTCTGAATGGCCATCGGAACCTAGGTCTGTTTTTCAAACCACATCCTCTGGCTTTTTCCTAATGGCATCTCCCCTCCCTTTTCTCCACCCTTCCCTCATTTTCCTCTCTTCCACTCCCCTCTCTTCCTCTTCCTGTCTTCCCTTTCTTTAGTGGTGCTGGGGATGGATGCTGGGGGCTGCTAGGGCCTTGCATGTTCTGGAGCAGCACTGTTAATTGCCCAGACACACCCCAGCCTTCCCAAGGATTTTCTTCTCCTTCCTTCCTTCCTTCCTTCCTTCCTTCCTTCCTTCCTTCCTTCCTTC